CTCTCCTGCTGCAATTTGCTTCCCAATGTGCCTGATCAGCACAAGGCACAGGTAGAATAGGATTCAAATCCCTCTTAGTACCTGAAAATGATGGGAAATAGAGCCAGCACAGAGAAAGAGATGCCCTTGACTGAGGTAACACAAAATTGGAGAGAAATCTTTGGCACAGCAAGTCTATCAAGAAAGCACACGAATATTTCCTGTGGAGAAGATTAGCCACTTACAACTAGAGATGGAGCCCTGGCAGACCCTCGAGGGACATTCAACCAGCACAGATTGACTTTACACATCAGCTAAAGACTGTGTTCCCAGGACAAATGGATTATTGGTATTACGGGATAATTGGGCACAGGACCACCCTAGAGAATGTTGGAAGGAAATGGGAGTTCCCAGAAATGAGGAGCAACAAACCTACGAGGAGCTTGATCTACTCTAATTAGTGAGGAGGTCATCTGCAGCCCCACTCACCAAAATTTGGGCACAGCTCAGGGGCACAGGCTCCACCAGAGTGTTTTGGGCACTCTCAGATTCTGGGCCACTCCTGGAGATACTGAAATGAAGGGGTGGTATGGGGAGGGTACCTGTACCTGGCAAGATCTGAGGAAGGCCATAGGATGGCACTGAGGTGCATAATCCCCCTGGATTTGGGGCATAAGTGAGGGCATGGCCATGCCCTCCTCTTTGGGGAGCATTTCTGATGTATCTCCCATGCTGTGACAGCCCATGGTTAACATTTCCAGCTCACAGGGTGTTATGGACACCCACGCCTCAGCCCCCCAGCTCCCCATTTTCAACTCTGCTCTGCTGCTGGAGCCAGGAAATCAACAGCAATCCTTCCTTTGGCTGCATCCCTGACCAGATGCTGCAGAGGGGTGAGGCCTGGCCGATTAATCTGTGCTCAGAGAGGCTGTTGGATTAGTGCTTCATCTGCTCTCGACATCTGCAGCTGCAGGACAGCCCCAAATTCATCAGCTGGAAGCCAGAAGGGAGCAGCAAGGCTGGTAAGAGCTCTTTTTTAGGGAGGGTTGGTGATTGAACTGCCTCTGTCAGGTAGCAAGATGAGGGAGGTTTTATGGGAAAGGTGGTGGTAGTGCCATTATCTTGGCACTTCCAAACCTGTCACAGAGTTCCTTGGCTGTGTCTGTGAGTCCCAAGTGTAAGGGGGGTGTTGTTGGCTGTGAAGGGGGAGCAAGGTGGTGAAGAGGGAAAGGGGGTGCTGGAAGGATCATGTGGAGCAGGCACAGTGAAAATGTGGCAGTCCTGAAGGTCTCAAAGCTCCAGTTCCTTGTGTTTGGAGGTGGGGTGAGGATGGCCCTGGGAAATGAGAAGTCTGTGCCACACCATACTGCCCAACCTGGGGGGACAGGGGACAGCTCCTGAGGGGACTGGGCAGTGCCCTCAGGGAGATGGGAATGGCCCCAAGGGAGTCCAGGAGTCAAGTGGTTCTTTGAAGGGGGAAGGAAGGGACAATTTCTGAAGCTGAGCCCTTAGAGAGCTGAGATGGCCCTCAAATCACCCAAAGAGTCGAGTGATTCTTTGAGGGTAAACACAAGGTGCTGCCAAACCAGAGGGAGAGACATGGAAGGTGTTACTGAGGATCTACCTCACATGGTTACTGTGATTTGGGCTGGAAAATCACATCATTCCAACCTCCATCTCCCTATCCAAAACCAGTCCCTCCCTGCTGTTCTGCTGACCTGAGCTGGGCTTTGTTACCCTGGACTTCCCTCCTTGCTCCGACTCTGCTTTTTTTCCTGCACTAACTGTTGCTTTCTCCTCATTACAGGGGTTTATGAGCCTTTTATTTGTGCAAGCAGGCAGCACGGGGGATGAGAAGAGAGCCCTGAGCAGCCATGGAGGGGTTACAGCTGCGGGTAAGGCTCCCCTCGTACAGACCCCAACCCTCCACCACCCTCCAGAGCTAAAGGGAAAGAAATCCCACTTGTGCCTGCTGAGCTGGGAATGACTCCCTTGTCTGCCACTGCGGGGAAACTCCAGGAGGCTGCTCAGGATTAAGCCCCGAGAGTGCCTGAACGAGGGGTTTATCTGCCCAGCTCCCCTTCCCCAGCAGCCTGGCCCCGGAGCCCCCCGGGGACTGTCCCTCTGCCGCTTAATCGCCTCGTGCTCCAGCGCCAGGAGGAGATGAGAGCGCTATAAATAGGCGGTGAAGCCCTCTTGGTTTCAGCCGTGACTCACACACATGGCCCAGGAGCATTAGGGAGAATTAACATCCAATCCCTCGGGCACTTTCCTGAGCGCAAACGCCGTTCTGTGTCCCATGTCCCCATTCCCCTCCCTGTCCCTTAATCCCCCTGCCCGGGGGGGCGTTCGGCAGCACCATCGGGAGGGCTTGGATGGCTCCGATGGGAGGCTCGGAGCGGGATTTTTGGGAAGCAGCACCTGCAGTGACCTGCAGGTGAATTTAGGGGATGGTGGGACTCCATCCTCCCCCCTGCCCGGGGCGGAGTAGGGTCGCTGTGTTCCTCACACCCCTGGACGTGGGACAAGGACAGCCTTTGGGACTGAGACACTCCTGCTGCTGGTACGTGAGGGGGCTGGGGGTCTTCTGCCTCTCCCTGGCCAGTGTTGGGATGTTCCTGGACCGACTGGTCCTCGGTGGGTGGACAAGCACACCTGGGTGGCCCATGGGAATCCCAAATATTTACCCCTCTCCATCCTCATTTTTCAAAGCTCAGGGGGGGGAAATGTATCATGCTGACAAGCTACCCCCCTGGGGAGCTGCGTGAGCTCGTTCTGCATGTATTTGCATTTATTTGCATGTGTTTAAGTGCCTGGAAGCCCCCCCTCGCCCCCCTCTGCTGTGTCTGTGTGCGAGCAGAGACGGTCACTGAGCACCACAAAACCAGCCGAGAAGGAGGTGAGACCAGGCAGGCCCTGGAGTGGGAGGTGTGAGGAGTCTGTTTATGGGGATTTATCCATCTGCTTCCCTCACACCCTCCCAGGTACTGGGAAGCAGCGGTGTTTTTTCTGAAAGGTGGTTTAGAGGGTAGAGCATCTCCTGAGAGGGGGTGAATATCTCTCACACTTTTGGATATCTGGTGTCCCATCAATAAAGGAGAGATCCTGTGATAGTTTCAGTCCAGGCCTTCCTGGAGACCAGCTTGTAACCAGGAAGGATCTAGGGAAGTGACCAAGAAGAATTCCATGCTATTCCTTTACACAAACTGAGTTATATGGAAGGTGGTCAGGAAGACCTCCCTTCTCTTCTCTTCTCTTCCAGAGAGGTTTGGGAACAGTAGGTTCCTGAGGGGAGAGTGCTGGGCTGGGTCTGGTTGTCCTGCTTTTCTCAAGGGAAGTGGTTCTTTATTGCCAGTTCTTTATTTTGCTGGTTACTGGGTTTTTCACTTGTGCATACCTGTTTTGTTTCTGTCCCTTTTTATCCCTTTTTTTTCCTTTTCCCTTCCACTCTTTCCCTTTTGGGAGTGGTTTGGGGTTCCTGTATTCCTATGTACATAGTACCTTAATTTTATATCTGTGACATATGAAATATATATATATATATTTTATATAGCTTTTGCTATTCCGTTTTTTTTTCTTTCTTCTGGGAAGTTTTCTGCTGTGTTCTGTGGGGTTTGATGGGAAGCCAACTACAACTGGCTACAGATCCATGTCTCCAGTCCATGGCATTGTCGGGGTTTCTTTGCATTCCTACTAAATTATAGGGCAGAAAATAAAAAAGAGCCATTCAGGGCACTCATGAGAGGTAAAGGGGAGGTTGGACTGAAGGATGTTTGGACTAAAGGATGAGCTCAGTGTTGGTATCTTTGGGTCCTCAGTTAGTGATCCAGGGAGTCTGGAATCTGTGAGATGAGGAATATACCAGAAAATGTATTTCCTTTGCTCTGAGGGACTCAGAAATCAGGGTTTCTCAGTGAAACAAGGGAAGAGGCAGAAAAAACAGAGAAAATAGGTGGGGGAAACACATTATTCTGATGGGACTGAACCCAAAAAAAGTCATCCCATGAAGACTGCAGGGCAAAGAGGGCCCTGTGGCTCTCCTTGCTGCAGGAAAACAGCTCTGGGTGACATCCTTCAGCCTACCCTGAACAATAACAGGATGGGGGATTAAAGAGATCTCAACACACAGGCTCCTCCTGGGGTGGTGTGATCTCCTACCTACTAAGGCACTTCAGGAGGTTGGGACATCCAAACAAAAATGGGTTTGGTGCTAAAATGGCATTGCCCTGTTGAGAAAAACATCATGGAGTGGAATATGGGCCTCGTGTGCTCTGGTAGGCTCAGGTTGGGGTGGGTTGCAGGTACCTGCGTGGTCTTGAGCCACCCTTGAAGTTTTAATCGTGTCATGGAAGAACCTGCCTTCAGAAATTCCCATGGGAATGTCTGAACAGGCCAAAAAGCTTTAGAAAGAACTGTGATATGTTCCTATAATTGTGCAGGAAGTGCAGCCTAGAGTTTCATCAGGGGCTGGAAAACCCAGCTGGATCCTTCCTGAGCCACAGAGCCGTGTGGGAGTCTGAAATTGCCTGGCTGGGACTGACAAGGCTCACCTGATTTGCAGAAGCTTTTGCCTGAACCCTCCTGCATCTCAAAAAAAAAAAAAAAAAGGGAAAAGAAAAGGGCTGTGTGGAAATCTAAAGGGAATATTTCAATCTGTCTATCCTACAAGTGAGTCCAGACAACCTGAAACAGCTTTGGAATGTGGACCATATTGGATGCAAATGGCAGCCCATATGTTTTGTATCATTAATTGCCAAACTTTCAAAAGCACCCTCCTGACCTCCTGCAGGCAGTGAAGGAGCACAGCCCAGGCTCAGGCACCTCCTCATTTGTCATCTGTTCCTTGTTTTTCTTCAACATTTATCTAGTTCTGTTCCCAACCTGGATGCTCTCCAGTGTTGTGAGAGCTGCACACACTCAAAATATCAGCCAGTTTCCCAAAATGTGGCATCTGTAAATGCCAAGCTTACAGATGGTGTGTGATAGGATGGGATTTACAGGCACAACATAGAAGGGTGAGGGCAGCAAATGGGGAAAAAAATTCCATCATTCATCTAGAAAAGCTGGATCTGCTCAGATGATCTAGCTGGTAGCTGCCATGAACAGATGCTGACTCTGGAAAAGAAGGGACTGGAAAGATATCCAGGGATAAGTCCTGATGGTTGAGAAGGGTGGAACTGAGAGCAGTGTCTGAGAATCCTGTCTGATGGGTGTTAACCTGCAGGGAGGGGGAAGGCAGGAGTGGTTGTGTTCTTCTGCAAGAACCCACAAGGTAAGGATTACAAACCCCACTGAAAGGCAAGAAGTCATCTCTGGTTCCAGTTATCCCAACACAGGCTGGTGTGGCCAGCTCTGGTGCTGAAATTATTCCAGAATCCCAGACTGGTTTGGGTTGGAAAGGACCTTAAAACTCATCTCATTCCACCCCTGCCATGGGTAGGGACACCTTCCACTGGACCAGGGGGCTCAAATCAATCCCTGTCCCTTCAGCAGCTTTATTCTCTGGTGCATGGGGCCTCTCTCACCAGCTGAAATGCAGGAGAGGTGTTTTCTCTCTCTCTGACCCCTTTTCTGCTTGCAGAAGGCTCCCAGCAGCTGGAGCTTCCTCAAACTCCCTGCCATGGAGGTGAAGTGGATCCATGTGTTGGTTGTCTTCCTCTTCCTGCTGTCTGTGGCAATGACAGGCTGCTTCCTGTGGCAGTACAGCCTCCCCAAGGTGGAGCCCGGTGAGTACTCTGCTTGAGCCTTGCTCATGGTTTGGCACAGGAATTTAGGACACTAATAAAACCCTTTCTCCCCATTTTCCCCCAAAGAGCATTTCCCCAAACACACAAACTTCTCCAGACAACACATAAATTTCTTCCTCCTTGCTGGTGCAAGGACACAGAGGAGATGAACACTGGGTTGATGGAGGACCACATAACTCTGCTGGTGTCCAGAGAAGCCCCATTACTTCTGCTGCTCATCTTTGGTTAACTGATGCACCAAGGAGACATTTGATTTTACATTCTTTACCTTTTCTGTGTTGTAAAAGTCACTCCAGCTTAGAACAGGTTTCTTTTACACCTTGCTAAGTGCTTCCTTTGCTGTTCCCCTAATCTTAGACCTTTGAACTGGCTTAAACCCTTGGTTCACACTTGAACTTGTAGAATCACAGAGTCCCAGACTGGTTTGGGTTGGAAGGGGCCTTAAAGCCCATCCAGTGCCACCCCCTGCCATGGGCAGGGACACCTTCTGCTATCCCAGGTTGCTCCAAGCCCCGTCCAACCTGGCCTTGGACACTTCCAGGGATGGGGCAGCCACAGCTTCCCTGGGCAACCTGTGCAAGGGCCTCCCCACCCTCCCAGCCAACATTTCCTTCCCAATATCCCATCTATTTCTGCCTTCTGGCAGTCTAAATCCACTCCCCCTTGTCCCGTCACCCCATCCCTTGTCCCAGGTCTCTCCCCAGTTCTTTTGGAGCCCCTTTAGGCCCTGGAAGGGGCTCTCAGGTCTCCCTGGAATTTTCCTTCTCCAGGTGAATCCCCCCAGCTCTCCCAGTCTGTCTCCAGAGCAGAAGGACTCCAGCCCTTGGAGCAGCTCCATTGCCTCCTCTATTGATTATAGAAAACTCAACCAATAGTCCCAAGGCACTGTATGTGCAAGGATTAAATATTAAAGGATTAAATCAGAGTTTTAAGTAGCCCAAAGGTGAGTTAAAATTCATGGTGAATTCAGAGGTATTTCACAGACCAAGGTCTGGAAAACATTTCAGACCCTACATTTTTGTCACAGAGTACCAGGCTGCCTGTGGGCTCTCTATGTGTCCATACCATGCATCTCCAAGATTTCTTAGTGTCATTTCTCCCCTCATCTCTAGTTCTGATGCCTCATGTTCACCCACTAAGCAAGAACACAGAGAAGCATTTGTTTGCATTTGTTTGCCCCCCTGTGTTTATGAACACCTTGGGATCAACTGGAAAAATAGTGCCTCCAAGTGAGACAGTTCCCATCTCTCAGTGAGTCTAAAGAGCTTTGCTCACCACAAAAATTCCAACTGTTTCTGTGGCACAGGCAGGATGCAGGGAATCCAGGGTACAACTAACACAGAAGGTGTTCAACCTTTCAGCTGTTGTGACAGTGCTGGAGCTCAGGGGACACTCACACTTCACTTCAACACCCATTTCTGAGGTTACAAAATGCAAGGGCCAACACTGTTCTCCTGAACCCCAACTCAGACTTTCCTCCAGACATGGGCAGGGCACTTCCATGAGGATTAAACCCACTGTCAGGTGGGACTGCAGTCCCAGTCCTTTACTCTTCCAGGTTTAAGAGTCAACTGAAGTCCATCCTATGCTGGAATAAGTGATAACAGAGCATGGTGGTCCTGCAAGTCCTATTCTGTGTGAGACAAACACAACTCAGGACTATCCCTTTCCTGTGCAGAAGTGTCCTTCAGCTTTGGACAGCACTAGAAATCTCGTGGTGACGGGTTGGTGAGATTAAACCTTGTCAGTGTGTCTGTTGAAGTCACTTGTGCTCCCCCTGCAATGTTTTCCAGGCCCTTCTGTGATGGAAGTGAGGTCAGAAGCTGTGCAGATGTGTCCCCGCTACCCTGAGCCGGTGCCGCTGGACCACCCCATCCCCATCCTGAAGGATGCCTTGGAGAAGGTCTGGGGGGATAAGGGAACAGAGGGAGGCACAGCTCATGGCTGCTCTCCTGCAGGGGTACAGGGGGGAATGTGTATTTTGCCCCTGAGCATCTCTGGGGAGGATATGGGGAGTTGAGGAGGTGGAGAACACGTGAACCCAGAAGTGGGTGTATGAAACTCCTTCAGTGAACATTCAGGACAGACCAACAAGCAGTTCTCTCACCCACAGGGCAAGTTGTGATGGAGAAATACGATCACTTGTCCATTGGAAGGTCTGGTGAGCTTTTATCAGCACAAAATGATGGCTCTTGGCATCTGGTCTATTATGTATCCTGGAAAGTAGTTGATTTGTGTAACTAGTTCCTTTTTATAAGTGACTGCCAATTCCTTATTTTCTTGCTTTGCTGGCTTTCCCCATGCCACAGTTTAAGAAGTACAAAGCTACTTGTAGGTTCAAGGGAGGGAGTGGAGGGGAAGGGAAAGAGGTAGAAGACCTGCATCTGAATGAAGATACACTTTTAAGGTGTTCATTCCTAAGCCCCCTTCAAACACCTCTGTCTTCCATTGTTGAAGTTCCCTGTGCCTTATTCAGGCTGCAAAATGGGAATGTTTTCACCAGCCTCTTCAAAGAAGTGCCTGGATACTTCATTTCCCAAGGGTGCAAAAGAGGAGATTGGATGATGCACCATCAGGATACCCCTGATGTGATGTTCCATCAGTATTCCCTCGGTGTGATGTCACATCAAGATTCCCTGGGAGTCATAAAGTGTCTTTGACATTTCAGCACTGACTGAACTTCTGACAGGCTCTAGGAAACACTGCAGCACTGCCTGGACTGTCTGGCCCATCAGGACAGGACACTCCTGATTTTCTATACCCCTTATCCCATTCCCTTCCATCTTTTCTTTCTCCCAGGCAGCAGGAATTCAGCACTGACTACAACATTCACGATGCAAGTGAATTTACAATGAAAAAATGACTTTCCTATTTTATTTTGTGCTACTTCTCTAATGATCCTTCCCATCTGATTGACCTGAAGGCACTGAGCAGGTGCTTTCCCAGGAGCAGCCACCAGAGCCCCCAGGTTTTGTTGCTGGGAGCCCAGGAGCAGCTCTCAGCCCCTGTGTGGTGGGTGTGCTCAGGGCTGTTCTCCTGCACACACAGCGCTGTATCCACACGGAATTTCAATTCCCAGCACTTCACAGCCACTCTTAGGAAGTCTCTGCCTGTCTCTGGGGTTACTGCAGAGTGTTTTACTGTTCAATTAGGATTAGTCAGAGAGGTGAGGGATGTGCAGAACATTGAGTGTCCACCACAGTCATCCAATCTCCTCTTTTGCACTCTTGGGAAATGAAGTATCCAGGCACTTCTTTGAAGAGGCTGGTGAACACATTCCCATTTTGCAGCCTGAATAAGGCACAGGGAACTTCAACAATGGAAGACAGAGGTGTTTGAAGGGGGCTTAGGAATGAGCACCTTAAAAGTGTATCTTCAGAGCCCTCAGGTTCTGCCTAAGCCTGTGGACACAAACACACACTGAAGGTCTTGCAGTACCTGAGACAAGTCACCAGTGTCTTCCTTTCAGTCTATATGACAAAGAACCTGTTACTCATCCTTCTAATATTTAAGATTAAAACCAAATGCCAACATGCAATAACTGTAAATTCTTCCTTTTTAAATTGTACCCTGCACATCTGTTCTCTGCACTAGTATTTTAGGGTCAAAGTTGTACAAGAAGACGACTTTTCAAATATCCCATGAGACTTTTCACTCCATGAAACACCTTTGAGCTCAGGCTCCTGTTAAACTGCAATCTGAAAAACAACACAGCAACCAAAGGGCTGTGGTTGCCCTTTGCTGCCTGTTGTGCCCAGGCTGTGGAGGTCTCATCATCCAGCTGTGCTCCACCCACCTCCTGCAGGCAGAACTGGATAATTCAACATAAGCAATGCTAAGAAACTGTTAAACAGTTAAAATATTTTCTTTTGACAACATACATTTCATAGAACCCCTCTGGAGTGCTCAGGAGTGAGGAGGGCTGGTGGTCTGGCACAGACTGGATGCATTATAAGAGTTTTCAGTTGGGAATTCCTCGTTCTGCAGGTGGATTTGATGCTCAGGCAGAAGATGCACAGCTCAGGGCTGCCAGCCATGTCTGCCATCGTCATCTACAACGACACAGTGCTCTGGACAGGAAACTTTGGGAAGAAGAACATCTCCGACCCCTCCTCGGCTGTGCCCAACGAATACACCATTTACAGGTGAGAGCCCTGGCACAGGCAGAGAGCCAGGAAAAGGCAGATGGATGTAACCCTGGCACGGGCAGGCAGTCAGGAAACAGAGCCACTGTCACGTGGCTCCTGCAGGGAGCACGAACCTCTCTTGAAACTTTGTGAGATGATGCTTCAGCAATTATCGCTTGCTGGTGGTTTAACGAGTTACTTGGGATGTATTTATTGAATTTTTTTCTTAATTTGATCTGATAATATTTTAAATTACCGTCTTGAAGAGCCTGAAAACATTCATAGGAGTGGCTCCATATTTTGAGGAGGCCTAGGGAGCAAATCTGAAGGTTGAGAACTGGCACAGATACTGAAAAAAGAGAACAGAGAGGAGACAGGGTCAGAGGGTTAAAATATTAATTAAAGCAATAATAATAATAATAACAATAATAATATAAATTTCAGCCTAGGAAAAAATTGGGGGTTGGGGAGAGTTTCTACTACACATAAAATAGACCTGTACACTTATTCATCCTCCCAGTGTCATATTGGCTGTTATTTTTTAGGTGAATATAGAATCAAGCTCTTAGTGTGTGCTAAAACCAAAAAAAATATAAGGATTTTCATTTAAATATCTATTTTCAGTGCATTCTACCTGTGTTATCTATGAAACACATGGGCTGCACTCTGACAGTCAATTTTGTTCTCAGAACAGACAGTTTTGGAAAGTTTCAGATCATCTGTTTCTTCCCCATCTGTAATATGGGATAAAATGACCTTCCACTATTTTTCTACCAGAACCATTAGATGGTTTGGGTTGGAAGGGACATTAAAGGTGTAGTTTTAACCCCTGGAATCAGATCCAGGTCCCTGGGTGGGCTCGAACCACCATCCTCTCGGTTAACAGCCGAACGTGCTGCCCGGTTACGCCACAGGGACAGGCTGGGGGCAGCTCCAAACGTGCCAGTCTGGCATTTGGGGACGAGGTATAGGGGTGGCCCTGGGTAAATGGTGAGGCTTGGTGGTCTTAGAGGTCTTTTCCACCCTAAAGGATTCTGTAAGTCTGTGATTTTAACCGTAAAATTCCAATAAACTACCAGTAAGGTTTTGTCGCCAAAATCACGGAATGTGCTGAGCTGGGAGGGACCCACCAGGGGCATCCAGTCCAACCCTCAGCCCTGCACAGGACTATCCCCAAGAGTCACACTCTGTGCCCCAGAGGATCAACCAAACCCTCCTGGAGCTCTGGCAGCCTTGGGGCTGTGCCCACTGCCCTGGGGAGCCTGGGCAGTGCCCAACCAGCCTCTGGGGGAAGAACCTTTGCCTGAGATCCTTTTCCTGAGAACCTAAACCTGCCCTGACCCAACTCCAGGTCATTCCCTGCTGCCCTGTCCCTGGTCCTCACAGAGCAGAGATCAGTGCCTGCCCTCCCTTTATGGTATTTACTAACCAATCATTTACAAAATAGGTAATTTCATGAATACTAAGTGACTAGGAAAAGATCTGCAGCCACTGCACTGCTGAGCACAGAGGTTGTCAGTTGAGAAAGGTTCAGATTTAAGGCTATTAATTCAAGCTTCTTACCTATATTTTAACCCTTCCCTTCAGAATGGGCAAAGGTGTCACAGAATCACAGAACATGCTGAGTTTGAAGGGACCCAAAAGGATCATCCAGTCCAACCCTCAGCCCTGCACAGGCCCATCCCCAGGAGTCACCCCCTGTGCCCCAGAGGATCATCTTGGATGATCAAGCACTCCTTGAGCTCTGTCAGCCTTGGTGCCATGAAAGCTACAGTGATCTCATGTACCATCCTTCCTCTTGATTCACGAGCTTCTTGAAGTTTAATTTCTCTGCCTGTTTGTCTGTTCACAGAATCGCCAGCGTCTCCAAGATCTTCCCCACCATTATGCTGTACAAGATGTGGGAGGAAGGCAAGGTCACGTCTCTGGATGACCCCTTGGAGCGTTATGCCCAGAACTTTGTTATCAAGAACCCCCTGGGAAGGCTGAGGGACTCAGAGCAGAGGTACACAGCAGATGGGCTGGTGTTTCTGGAGAAGGGCTCGATGCCACCGAAGCCATCGCCCGTCACCCTGCGCAGGATGGCCAGTCAGCTCTCAGGTGAGCCAGCCCTGCTCTGGGCCATCCCAGAGCCCACAGACACAACAGCCTAAATCCCAGGGGTACAAAAGGCTGCTGAGAAGGTGTTTCCCAGTATGGACCCTGCCCTGTGCCCTTCCCAGAGGTCAGCAGGATTCCTGGGAGCAGCTTCCTGGAGTGCTGAAAGGAAACTCTTGTTCCAGGCCACCTGCCAGGAAAGGGGCCGACCTGCCCTGTGGGCTGGGGAGTTGTTTTTCCCCTTGAAAGGGATTCAGATTCCTCACAATTTGGTACCACAGGTATCCCAGGGTTGGATTTAACACACACATACCAGTGTTCTGTTCCTCACGTATCCCAGTTCTTTATTTGCAGCATGTTCCCAACATTCCCATTATATCCCAATGTTAAGTTCCATCATATCACAAGGTTCTACGTGTCACATATCCAAATATTTTATTCCTGTCATATTTTATCCCATCATTATGTTACCATCACATCCTAGTATTTTATTCCCCAAATATCCCAACACCCCACAATATTTTATTCCTGGTGCATCCCACCATCTTATTCCTGAAATATCCTGAAACCAGGCTCTTATTGCATAACAGTGGCTTGTGCTCCAGCCCAGAGTGCACTGTTTTTTCTGAGATGTAGAGTTGGAGGTCAAAGAGGCACCAAACCTCTTTGCTTTGAATAGAAAGACCTTGATTGATGAGCTAAATTTAGCTGCCAGTGTGGCTCCTGAGCTGGGATTCCTGAGCTATTCATGGCTCTGCACTTGTTGGCAGAGAAGCATTAATGTGCTGCTGCTTCAGAACTGGGTAACTGTTACATTAAGGTAGAAGGAGCTCATGGGATTCAGAACTTTAACCTTTCTCCAAAATAAAGCTGCTATTACTTGATTGAGAGATTCCAAAATTCAAAATGGCCAAAGAGACTGTGCTGGTATCTTGTGTGGCATTTTGGTTAATCTGTGTAGCCTCTGCATTGTTCCAGGTTGGAATAAATGCCCTAAAATTAGGAGCCAAGATCAAAACAGCAGGTAGGTAAATTGCAGGATGGGGCACAGCATCCCCTGAAGCAAAGCAGTATCAAAATAAGGGCTCCCCAAAAATGGAATGATGTGGATGAAATCTGGAAACAAACCCACAAACAGCCCAAAGTGGCCAATGGCCACATCCCTGCCCACCCCCTTTCCCTGCAGGCAGGGTCTGGCTCTACCCACATGTTGTCCCCAGGAATTACCCCCCCTGCCCAGTCCCCTCTGACTCTCAGGAGTATCTGGAGCTGCTCTGGCTGCTCCTGTCACCCAGTGAGGTGTGAAGTGCACCCTAGAAATGTTGTGAGAAGCACATGTCAAAAGTGCACCTGGGTGCTTGTACTGTGCAGCCCCTCCATTGCTTCCATCACTGCCTGGATTTGTGCCCTTGCTCAGCTCCTTTTGTGCTCCTGTGCCTTTTTTTTTTTTAGAATTTGGCCCAAATTTCCCAGACCACACCAGCAGGACACACCAACTACCTCAGACCCTGACAATTTAGTAGAAGCAAAAGCACAGTTTCAAAATCCCAGCTGCAAATCAATTGAATGTTGAGGTCCCACATTGCATTTGCTGTCTGTCAAAACCCCAAAAAGGAATAGGTTCTGCTTGGCACCAGGATCAAAGCCGCTGCATGACACATTGTAAAGTGGTTTTCATCTGAATTCTTCCAGTGGAAAGTGATCTCTAATAGATTCTCATTATCTGGGCTCTTCTCCATTGCACATTACAAAAGGAACTCCAAAGGTTTTTCTCCTCAGCACTCAGCACATTGCTGGGGGAAAGCTCCAGCTTGTTAAGCCCAGGATTTTCAAACACATCTGAATGACAGAATGGGATGAGATTGTAAATTATTAACAGTGTGCTTGTCACATCAATTAGCAGCCCATGGGCTATAAATCAATGACTGTGGGTTATATTATGCTCACACATCCTCTGGTTTATCATTCCTAATGAACCTCAGGAGAGATATTGCACTGCTGTCAGGACTCTGGGGAACTCTCCCAGCGCTCCAACGTTGTCTTTGCAGCAAGTAGAAAATGAAGGAGCTGGAGGAGCTGGAAGATGATCAGTGCCTCACTTACCTGGTCATTCAGCTGCACAAACAACCACAGAGCAGGAGCACAAACAGTGCTCTCATTCCAGCTCAAATCCCAAGGTCAGGCCAACCGAGAAAAGCAAGAGTTGCTGCTCCAAAAGAGTGGGGCCTCCTTCAGCTTTACCAGGATCCAGGAGGAGAGGAAAAGGCCTCACATTGCACCAAGGAAGGTTTAGACTGGGTTTTAGGAAAAGGATTTTCACAGGAAGGTTTGAAAAACATTGGAAGAGGGTGCCCAGGGCAGTGGGGGAGTCCCCATCCCTGGAAGTGTTCAAACAACGTTTGGATGGGGCACTGAGGACGTGCTTTAGTGGTGGACATGGTGGTGATTGGTGCTGGGCTGATGGTTGGACTCCATCTGAGAGGGATTTTCCAACATTAACAATTCCATAGTTCTATGATTAAGCCCATGATCACTGAGCAGACTATTACAAGTTGCTTTTCTGTCACAAACACTTCCCAATTTCCTCCTCACTTCTACATCAAAGTGAGCTGGAAACAGCCACAAGGACTCCACTCTAGGTGTAATCCAAGTTCTGGACATGGAGAGCCACAGAATCTGTTCAGAGCATCTGGGGCAATTTAAAAACTACTTGTCAAAAGATTTTAGGGAATCCACGCTCAGTGTGGAACTAAAAGTTAAAAAAAAACCTTAGTATTTTCTACATTCAGCAAAAAGAATTTTGTTTTTTCCTACATTCAGAACCCTTGAATAAATGTTGCTAAAGATGGGCTGGGGGGAAGACAAAAATACTTTAGGCCAAGCTTGGAGCCATTCAGAGAAGTTCAAGCCCTCAAAAGTGAGATGTGAAGAATGAAATTCTGGTGAAAGGGGCTGTCACACACCTCTGTAGTCACGGGAATAGAGCCCTGTGGGAATGTGGGCAGGGATTTCCCCAAGCCCCAACAAGCCAAAACACCCCTGGGGGTACAGGAGGTTCTGGATCATTCGTGGAGGTCTTTTCACTGAGCTGTAGCACCCCCAGTTCATGCTGGGCAGGACTCACATCACCCAGGCTGGGGGGTCCTGCAGTGTGGTGGGAACAGGTCCTTGTGGCTGCAAAGCACACGAGTCCATCGTTGCTGCTTCCACCTTGACTGCCTCGGCTTCTGTTCCCTCCTCACCAGACTCAGCATTTCCCTGCTTTCTCTGGAATGAATCTCTTTTCCCTGGCCCAGGTCTGCCCAGGAGGCTGAGATCCACCAGCCTGCTGTGGAAGGGCACCACGCAGGACGCCCTGGCTCTCCTCAAGGATGATGTGCTGGTGGCTGATCCAGGAACCAGGTCAGATGGATTCATTTATGGGCTTTCAGCCACATCCACGTCCATATTCACACTGTATCCCTGTCTCTCCTTCATCCCTCCCCTCTCTTTACCATGTCATTCCATAAAATGTGAATTTTCCCCTAAATGAGAGACATAGCCACTATTTTGTCATATCCATATCCACATTGTATCCTCATCTCTCCTCTCTTTAGCAGATCAGATGGATTAATTTTAGGAGCTTTTAGAAGTGTGTTCTTCACTCTTAGCCCCACCTGCAGCCTCCATGGCCAATGGATAAACATTCCCAAAGGGAGCTTCAGCCACCTCCCCACACACCTGTCTGAGGCTGGGACTGGCTTGATGACCTTTGTGGGTCCCTCAGAATATTCTGTAAATCTGTTTTTCATTTTTTAAGTCTAGATGAGGCAAGTTAAACTGCCATAGTTGGGTCCAATGAGCCTTAAATGCAGGTTTTCTGTAGTGGAAATGTTAATTTAAACAGTTTAAAACATCACAGATTTCAGTTAAAATCGTGTCTGTAGTCACTTGTATGTCTCCAAATTATCTAAAAGGTCTGTGAATGCTTTTTGTAATTTCTGTGGCCTGTTAAAAGTCCATTACCTGAGTTGCAAACACTCAAAAATATCATGGAATCACAGAATCCCAGAATGGTTTGGGTTGGAAGGGACCTTAAAGATCATCTTGTTCCACCCCCCTTCCACTAGACCAGATTGCTTCAAGCTCCATCCAACCTTGGACACTTCCACACTTCCTTAAACAGCATCCAGTGAACATCAGGGGAGAGAAAGGATTACAGCTAACTTGGCAAAATTTTTTCCAAGTCTGCAAAGGGAAATCCTGAAATAATTTGCCCAGGATGGCTGAGGATCTACCATGCCCATGGAGGAGGAAAGCTCAGAGGTTCCTTCACTTCTGTTAATTCCTTCACTTCTGTTAATTCCTTCACTTCTGTTAATTCCTTCACTTCTGTTAATTCTCTCCCATATCTACAACAGCTATTCCTTAAAGAATTTTAAGACTTAAATACCATAATTTTCTTTGATATTTTTATATCTTTATTGGTATTATCTTTATTGGTATCTTTATATTGTGGTCCCCATGAAGATACACAGGGACATCCCCTCATAATCTCATAACCTCTTAATAACTTAATAAATATCAACTTAATGTTGATAGTTTTAACTTTCTCCCTGTTCCTGGACATACTTCCCAAGGGAAGTTCCCATTTATTGACACAGACATTTTGATATATTTTTCTATGTTGAAGTTCAGCTCCATTTCAGACATAAAATTTTAGATCCAGAATGTATTTATTCTTAGGGTAATAAATATATATGCTCATCACACTTTTATTCAGCCAGATGGGCTGGAAAAGGTTGAAGTGGTACCAAATTTATGACCTAAATAGGCCTCAGTCAGATGAAAAAAAAACAACAGTTGAAAAAAAACACAGTTGAAAAAAAACCAACCAAACAACCAAGCTGAAAATACAATTAATTTTTGAAAATGTGTTTAAAAAAACTTGCTCATTCATGTCTTCATGCCATTAAACTCCATTCAAGCATAAAGACTTAAATCACTTGATGGATATTAAAGACTGAAGCACTTCTTTAATGCTTCCACAGTGCTGGTTGCTGCTTTGTGGGCTTTTAAGTGCTCTTTAAGTGCTTTTACCATCTTAAGGTCGCTTAGGTGTTTAAGTGATTATACCAGAGTCAATCCCCAAAGAGGCTTACCTGGGATTTTGAGACCTCTAAGCAAACACCTGGAACTCTCCATTTGCTCCTGAAAAGAATGGATGTGTTCTTTGTGAACTGTTATAAACAATAAGTGAAGGTATGCAAATATACAGGAGTGTTCCTGTTCCATCCCCAGGTCTTTCTGTCCATCAGAGTTCTGTAACTCTGCTGATGTTGCTGTAAAATATTTCTCTTTCTTGATTTAACAACAAGGAAACAACACAGAGCTTTTCTCTGTCTCTCCTTCATCTCTCCTCTCTTTTAAGCATGTGATTTCATAAAATGTGCTTTTTCCCCTAAATGAGAGTCACAGCCATTGTTTTTTCATGCCCATATCCATATCCACGTTGTATCCCTGTCTCTCCTTCATCTTTTTTTACTGTGTCATTCCATAAAGTATGAATCTTCCCTAAGTGACACATAGCCACTATTTTTTCATATCCACATCCACACTGTATCCCTGTCTCTCATAGAATCATAGAATCAACTGGGTTGGAAGGGACCTCTGAGATTATCAAGTCCAACCCCTGATCCACTTCTGCTGTGGTTCCCAGCCCATGGCACTGATGCCACATCCAGTCTCTTCTTAAAAACCTCCAGGGAGGGAGAATCCACCACTTCCCTGGGCAGCCCATTCCAATGTCTGATCACCCTCTCTGGAAAGAAATTCTTCCTAATATCAAACCTAAACCTCCCCTGGCACAACTTGAGACCCAGCCCTCTTGTCTTGCTGATGGTTGCCTGGGAAAAGACTCCAACCCCCACCTGGCTCCCCCCTCCTTTCAGGGAGCTGTAGAGAGTGAGGAGGTCTCCTTCATCTCTCCTCTCTCTTTAGCACATCATTCCCTAAAATGTCAGTACCCCCAGAACAAACAGACGCAGCCCCCGTTTTGTCCCACCCACGCTGGGCAAAGCTGATCCCGAGATATTCCTCCTCCTTCCCAGGTGCCACTACAGCAACCTGGCCTTCTCCCTGCTGGCCCACGTGCTGGCCGAGCACGGGGCCGACGGGCAGTACCAGCGCTGGATCTCGGAGCACATCCTGGACCGGCTGGGCATGGAGGACACGGGGTTCGACCTCACGCCGCCCGTCCGCTCCCAGATGGCCGTGGGCTTCTACGGCAGCCGCCAGCCCGCCCCGCTCTACGACCTGGGCTGGTACAGACCCTCTGGGCAGATGTACTCCACGGCCGCCGACCTGGCCAAGCTGGCCATGGTCTTCTTGGGCACCTACCACCGCCGGCTGCTGGAGCCTGACACGGTGAAGACCATGCTGACCCCGCTGCTCGAGTGCTCCAGCGACTACTTTGCCAACAAGACCGGCACGCCCTGGGAGATCAACGAGCAGCTGGGCTACGATGTCATCAGGAAGGATGGGGACCTCGATGGCTACTCAGCCACCTTCTCTCTAATCCCCAAGCTCCACCTGAGCTTCATCGTGCTCATGTCAGGGCCCAGGCCTCAGGGTGGGGATGTTGTGACTCAGACTTACGAGTACCTCATTCCGGCCATGGAGACGGCTTTCCGGGAGGCAGAGAAGAGCGTGGTCCCCCCTCCAAACCCCATCCCTTATGTTGGCTACTACACCTACTCCAACCTGACTTTCTATGAGATCAAAGTTGGCATTGGTGGGGTGCTGATCATGCAGCAGTTTGGGCCTCACGTAGAAGAGCTAATCCCCGAGAAGTATCGGACAATCAAGCTCCACCACCTGGAGGATCGTGTATTCCAAGTTGTTTTTGACAAGGAGTTCCCGTGTGTCCTGCACCTGGGCTCTGCCTCCATCTCCCTGGAGACCCAAAATGGGCAGCTCTTTAACTTTTACCCCTTTGACCGCAAGGGTTTGTCTCCTGGCTTTGACGCCCCGGGGTTGAACACCTACAACGTGGTGCGTGTGCTCCGCAAGCCCGTGTTCTACAGCTAAACACCCCCTGCTCCCCTCACCTCTTCTGGGAGGTGGCTTCAAATCTGTGTCTTATCAGACTCTGGTCGGCTCCATGGAAGCCACTTAAAAGGGAAAGGTGGTGGCAAATGGCTCTTTTGCCAAACAAACACTTCTAAAATGACTTCCCGCTTCTGACATGGGTTTAATGGCTGGCAACCCCCCAAAATGCACAACAGGCCAGCTGGAGATGCCTGCAGAACATAAAAAAGAGGTGGGAATGTGCTGAGGGGATTGTGTTTGGATGCCATAAAAACAAAACTGAGCACTGAAGTGTCCATGCTTTCCTTGTCTGTTTGATGACCATTGTAGTTATCAACTGGTATCATCAAAGGCTGAAAATGCCCTGTGTCTCTCAGAAAATATCTCTTCTTCAGTCCAGGGGTTTTTCCATGGCTTTTCAGGAGCCCATCTACCACGAGCAAGATCCCTTACCTGGGTTTGCCCACCCCAGAAATGGCTTACAGGGCTGTCTTTCCTATTGATATATTACAGCAAAAAATCTTGTGCCATCTGTGCTGAGTTTTTCATATCAGAATGATACAGAGTTCTTAATATCAGAAAAGAGCAGGTACTGAGGCAATGAAGCCAAACCTTCTAAAATGGGAAGTTTCAATTGCATTGTGTAAAGATGTAGTTTTCTTCTTTTATTTAGGCTGCTTTTTTTTTTCTTGAACAACTAGGAAGCATTTTCTGATGAATCACTGATCCTTCTTTTGTATTTGGAAGCTGAGAACAACAACTTTTTTTTTTTGTTTCCTGCACTGTGACATACTGTAGTACATACATTTTTTAAGTATTTTACTTGTAGATGTAAATGCATATAAAAAACTGTAAATAAAAAACTGTAAATTCATGTAAGTATATGCAAATACAGTCTCTTGAAGACAAAGAGATTGCCTGTTCAGGTGTTTGGGGTGATTTGGATGAAGCTGATGAAAACATCTCTTTGCTGTTTTTTACACCATTCACCACAGAGAGAAGGAAACAACAGGTTGTGGCTGGAATTCCACAATTGCCTGCTTGTGATTTCACTCCTGCTCTCACAATCACCATTCCAGAAACCCTTAAAAAACTCACCTGTGGAAAACAATCTTTAGGCTGCAGATTAAGAAAAAGCAGAGTTGTCTCCAGGCTCAATCCCTGCTGCCTTGATGCCTAAACTGGCAAGGAAATGGAATTCAGTCCTGCCTATGGCCCACTGGAACACACATGGCATGGGGATATGGGCCCTCCTATGGGATATGGGCCCTCTGCTATGGGATATGGACCCTCCTATGGGATATGGACCCTCTGCTATGGGATATGGACCCTCTGCTATGGGATATGGGTCCTCTCCTATGGGATATGGACCCTCTGCCATGGGATATGGACCCTCTGCTATGGGATATGGACCCTCTGCTATGGGATATGGGTCCTCTCCTATGGGATATGGGCCCTCCTATGGGATATGGACCCTCTCCTATGGGATATGGACCCTCTGCTATGGGATATGTGTCCTCTCCTATGGGATATGGACCCTCTGCCATGGGATATGGACCCTCTGCTATGGGATATGGACCCTCTGCTATGGGATATGGACCCTCTGCCATGGGATATGGACCCTGTGCCATGGGATATGGACCCTCTGCTATGGGATATGGATCCTCTGCAGTGGGATATGGACCCTGTGCCATGGGATATGGACCCTCTGCTATGGGATATGGATCCTCTGCCATGGGATATGGACCCTCTGCTATGGGATATGGACCCTCTCCTATGGGATATGGGCCCTCTCCTATGGGATATGGACCCTCTGCAGTGGGATATGGACCCTCTGCAGTGGTATATGGACCCTCTGCCATGGAATATGGGCCCTCTGTTATGGGATATGGACCCTCTGCTATGGGATATGGGCCCTCTGCAGTGTCCCACACCCCATGTCCATCCCCTGGAGCACACATGGGATAGGGGACCTTCTGCCATGGGACATGAACCCTCTGTAGTGTCCCACATCCCTGTATCCATCCCCTGGAGCACACATGGGATATGGACTCTCTGCTATGGGATATGGACCCTCTGCAGTGTCCCACACCCAGTGTCCATCCCCTGGAGCACACATGGGATATGGACCCTCTGCAGGGGAGCAGAAACTTCTTCTGCTGTGGTTTTCCCTCTCCTGGTCTCCTCAGGGAACCAGCAGGATGAGGTGCTCCCCTGACCTGTGTTAGAAACAAAGAAGGCATGGAAAGCATTGACTGATGGTTGTGGGAGCTTCTCACCTCAAAAACAAAGGGAAAGTTCACTGAGAAAATGAGGCACTTCTGCATCATTTTTGATACAGATATATATTTAATAATTAAAAAAATAAAATAATAATATATAACAATATATAATAAATAAATAAATACAAATAACAAATAATAAATTAAAATGGAAATAAATTTAAACTAAAACTTTTTATTTAAAATTTTATTATCAAAGGTTGTTTTAAATTTCCTTAAACTTCACAACATTTTTAGCAGAGGTTGATCTAGCCATTGCTGCCAGTCAGGTTCCAGGAGAAATATCTCCAAAACCCACATCCAATTGCACCTGGATCATGCAAACTGCAGCTTGAAAACACCAAAGTTCTCTTTTTTCTATTAGTGTTGGGAGTTGCTGTGATCTGTGACAGGGTTTGTGGAGGGAACTTCACGACCTATTCACCTTCACACACCATCTCAAGGAATTTCAACTCCTGGGATTAGGATTTGTGGGAGGGGGATGTTATCACAGGCCCCTCTTTCTCTGAGGATTGTATCCACAGCAGAATATCCAAGGGCCCAGATTTCTCTGGGAGTTGGCAGAGCAGCAGCAGCTTCCCTGCAGGGTGACAGAAGGTGACAGAAATCACTGCAGGGAGCTCTATTGGGAGAACTGGCCCCTTTAATCCCAGCACTGCTGCAGGTTGGGGATTTTATAACCCCAGGAAAAGCCCTGAGCTCCTCCTGTGCCACAGGATCCAGCAAAGGACAGGGAAATGGGAATCCAGGAATCTTCCTCCTGTCACCACAGGTTTGTGGGAAATGTCATCAACATTAGTTATAATTTTGAGGGCAGAAAATGTGGTCCTCAGAGTACAAGGTGCCTTTTTTTTCCTGCTGTGAAGGAAGGTCTGGAAATTCATCCTGATTCTTGGTTTTGTTTGGGTACATTCTCCAAATATTCCTGCAGTTAATTCCTGGGAAGTCTATGGAGCTGTATCAGCTCTGTGGATCTGCCAGAGGGCAGGATTAGATGGGATACTGGGAAGAAATTCCTCCCTGTGAAGGTGGTTTGGCCCTGGCACAGAGTGCCCAGAGAAGCTGGGGCTGCCCCAGCCCTGGGAGTGTCCAAGGCCAGGCTGGATCAAAGGAGCAAACCAGGCCAGTGGAAGGTGTCCCTTTCCATTTTTTTTTCCACTCTCACAGCTCACATCCCATTTTTAATCCATAACAATCCCCAGATATTTGCCCAGCTGCCCCATTCCTGGCAGTTCTGCTGAGCTCCTGCTGCAGGTCCCTGCCCGTGTTGATTCTGCCCCTCCAGGATGCCAGAACAAGCCCCTCTTCCTCTGAAACATCTCCATGCACAGCTCACCCCTCACAGCCTGGTTTTATCTGCAAATGTAAGCAAAATCTGTTCAATCCAAGGTGTCCAGGGAAATCTTGGATAGTGCTGGCTCACAGATTCCCCTGGAATCACACTTGGTGCAGCACCCTGGTTTGACAGAGAACAATTCCCAGCTCCTCTCCCAGCGTGTCTCCCTCCAATCAGCCTCACAAGGATGTTGTGATTGCTCTGTGATGAGATAATTTTCTCAAAACAAGCACAATAAACTCAAATTATCCAGTTAAGGTTACACTTCAAAGACATTCAGACATGGATAAGTGGGAAGCACGGAATCCACAGAGCCAGATCAGGCTTTTTTTTCACAGCTCAGTTACTTTTTTAGGCACAAAATATTGCAGAACATGTGGGTTTGTTTTTAAAGATAGCACAAGTTGGCAGCAGAGCCACAAAAATACTTCTCATCACTTTTGGTGCAATTTAGGGCAATCTGAAGAGCTTGAAGTCTTTTCCTCCCTAACTATGGGTGGATTATTTGGATGTGTAGCATTCCCTTGGGATTTCTTGAATTTATCACACAACAACATCCCTGTGGAGGTTTTTAACCCTCCCCAACTGGTCTGTCCTTTCAGTCTGAACTCTGCTTAAATATATTTTTAAGGCAATCTTTTTGTTGGAAAATTCCATTTGCACCCGGATATCAAGTGACAGGCCCTGTAATGTGCTGTACAAACACAATCCCCCCAAAGAGAGCACTTTGCTCGTCTCCAGGTGAGCAGATTTCAGATTTTAATTATTTAAGATTCCCCTTCCAGAAGGTCTCCCAGCCCTGGGAGAAGCTGTGGAAGCCTGGAGCCCTTGATGGCTGCTTTCCCTTTCCCATCTCCATCCCCAGCCACCCTTCTCCATGAAAAAAGAATGCACATTCCCTCACTTCCTTCTCCTCTTTAACAGCTCCACATTTAAATGATGCCCCCATAGAGATGTAAATAATAACACTGCTATTTAGAACAATTTTCTGCAAACCCCACCACAGGCACGAACAAAGGCTCCCTGGGATGCTCTTCCCAATTTCCCTTCGATTTTCCACTTTAGCTGAAACAAAAAGAATGAAAACAGTTAAATCTCCAATATCTGGTGGCTTTTTGAAAATTTTGTGTGTGTGCAAAGCCTTGGTCTTTCAGGAGGTCACTCAGGGACCTGGGGAGGGAATGTGAGGATATTCATTATCTCTGTAGAAGAGAAGCAGAGGTGAAACATCAGTTTGGAAGTTTAACAGAAAATAAATCCACAAGCTTGGTGATGAGCAGGTGGGATTCTGTGCAGGTCCTGGGTTTG